GGCGCTAACTCGAGCTCTGGTCAAGTGAGCGGTGCTGGGACCACCCACAGAAGATACCTGACTGTTTCAAACATCTCTATTTAAACCCAATCTCTTTACGCGTTGATAGGTAGACACAATCAATTTACTTATTAATATTATTTTCCAATATTAAATAAGCCGTGACGGAATAAATTCGTATACGGTGCGCGAATTAAATTTTTTATTGATTTATAACTTTTTGTTTTATATGCAAATCGGGCCAACCGATTAAATTGTTTCAGGAGTACGGTATTGATGCTAGTATTGTGTGGATGTTTTTGTAATTGGCCGTTGGTACATGTGAGGACAGGCGTTGATGAAGTGTGACTCCATAGTAACGGAAAGTTATCTACGCTCTTCATAAGTAACATGATTTTTGTTCTTGAATGTAAAATAAATAAAACTAATAAATGCTACTCAAATTTAAGTAATAGAAGAAGAAATTGGTAAATCGTACCATTCTCAAGGGACAGACCGACCTCTACTCAAAAGGGAAATTGACCCTAACTTCGGGCGGAATTAAAGACTTTTCTTCCTATATGCGCAATTAGCAGTTGATTGTTCGGCGAAAGGAAACCGGCATATTTAATCCAAAAAACTACTATATGTATGTCTTTACATAATGCTGCACAAACCCAATTCTCTTAATTTGTTGCTCGTGTCAGAGGATCGTGGTCAGCAAGACAACATCTTGAGCGGACTATCTGTTTCCACCGTTTTCTGTGCAGCGCCTCTCAACAGTGTATAGTTTTAAGGATAATCTTTCACTTGATCGGTCTATCTGGTTGGTGAACGGCCACGAGATCTTTTGCCTTCTGTGTTACCAACCACGATCAGTTTCTCCAAGTTCGTAAGTATGGCTGAAATACGATATAATTCGTTGTCGGCATCATGTCGAGTCCGTATGCAGAGTTGGCTTAAGCTCGATGTATTGGTGCGCTACCACATAGATACAACCTATCCAATATTTCCACAACCTGTCACATAATTATGATGATTTTGGTAAATAAATTTGTCATAACAGAATAACCTAAAAGAATGAATTTACCCTTTAAGTTTCAAATATTTAAAAGACTTAAATTCTTAGTAAAATCGCAAACAAAGGGCAAACAATGGCGTCTCGCCGCTACCGGAAGCAGGCTCTACCCGCGACCGGAAGTGCGACCCAGTAACGCACGTGCCACACTTTGAAAAGTTTGAATTCCTGGACCGAAAATATAAGAACAGTAAATGTTTATGTAAGAATATGTTATAGTGAACGAATAAATTAATGGGTACTCGTAGAGATTACGGATGCTAGGATATATTGATTAAAAAGATATCATACAACATATTTGAATAGAAATGAAGTTTCTGGTTTTATGACTGATTAACAAGCCTATTTGTTATCATTTCTAATATCACGATTAACAATTATTTACGAGTTGACCCTTTGTTGCTGTTTGACACGAAAAACGACAGCTTCTATTAGCACAAAATATTATTGTGCTAAGTAATAGTATGTTTAATGTATGTTCTTTTGAATGTATGATACTAGCGAAAGTACAATAGGAAGCATCTATTAAACCTTGTAATTGATTCTCGGCACAAGAGGAAATACAAAAACAGCATCACTAAAACCGTCTCGTTGCGTTCGAATCATCTTAATTACAGGAGAAAAATCTCGACAAAACAAAAGCTACCGAACGAATGAGATGTCAAGCCATGATTGATTGTCAGCCCGGAATCAAAATGGCGGCCAGAGATTCCGACAGGCTCGACTCGTGATTTTATTATAACAAATTCCTTCCTTGCAAAGCAAATAAGGATATGGTAACTCTATAAAATTTAGCTTAATTTAATTGTTTTACCATCATTTTTAACACAAAACTATGTCTAATATATAATATTTTCGTGTCACAGTGTTCGTTCCCATACTCCTCCGAAACGGCTCGACCGATTCTTATGAAATTTTTGATGCATATTTAGTAAGTCTGAGAATTCACAACTATCTATCTTTCAAACCCCTAAGTGATAAGAGGTGTCCACCCCAAAAATTTTGGTTTTTACTTCTTAGACATTTTTTTTGTTTTTGTTTTTTTTTGATACAGCATACAAAAATACATACAACCCCTAATTTTCACCCCTCTACGATCAACGCCTATTTTGTATTATAGTAGATAGTTATTTTTATTGAATTAATTATATGTTTCCTAGTATATATGTCAACGTAAAATTGTAAAAACCGTTAGATTGTAATCTATCTCGCGAGATTGTAAACTGTCGAAAAATTGTGAACTCAACGTATTGCTTACAATTTAACGTATTATTATTCGGTAGATTATAATCTATCGAAGTGAAATCGTCAAATTGTGAAACGGTACGCACCTCGCGCGCTGATTGGTTGAACGGAATATGCCATGGTGGCGACCATAATTGTTTGTTAATTCGTTTGTTGTCGAATGTAAACAAACGGTGTTTTGGTGAATGTAAATTGATGTCGTCTTGAAAGTAACTCACAGCTTTAGGATGTTGAAAGTGAACGTGAAAAGTTATATGAAAATGTTGTGGAAGTAAAATTAATCTGTGATTGATCAAAGAAGTGCAGTTTGAATGATAATTAAGTTACCTAGTGTTGGTCTCCAAACATAGTCTAAATTACATACATTTTCCGTGTTTTAATATTTTTTATTCGCGTGAACCTTTGTGATCTCGTATTTACAATATATTGGATATTGAGCCTGTCGATCAACAAAACTCAGAAATATTAGGTATTGTTAATAAGGAAGAATTTACCATAGAGTTACAAAACTATTACAGCGGGCATAATGAAAATAGTAAAAAATTTAATTGCAAAAAAAATAAAAAGAAAGCTAATGTTCTTTGTAACTCCAGGTGCCACAACTCGTTGACGTGCAACAATAATTGAACATTTTTATTAATGCAATTTACTTTCTTATTTTTTATATAATAGACAATTTTGTTATGTTTTCAAAAACGTTCATATGTTTTCGATTTGTTTTTTTTTTAAATTTCAATTTTAATTTGTGTTTGAAGAGAAAATATTGTTACGTTTCTGATTTTTTTATTTTGATATATTTTTTTTTTCATCATGTGATGTCAGAATTATTGATATAATAAATACTAATTTTTGAAGTGCATTCATTTTATTTTACCGAAACCCTTGTTTCATTCCTAACTCTATGGACATAATATAACAGTCTACTATAAAGCCGACCAATCAGCGCGCGAGCTGCTTACCGTTTCACAATTTGACGATTTCACTTCGATAGATTATAATCTACCGAATAATAATACGTTAAATTGTAAGCAGTACGTTGAGTTCACAATCTTTCGACAGTTTATAATCTCGCGAGATAGATTACAATCTAACGGTATTTACAATTTTACGTTAACATATATAATATAATATACATGGCAAAACAACGTTTGCCGGGTCATCTAGTTTTTTTGCTGAACTACTTTGTTAGCATATGCTACATTTGTTTCATTGTTTGTTCTTTAAGACCAATCAGGACCAATCAGAAATAACAGATGTGTGTGAGTCCTACACCATGGTTATCTATTAAGACAACATAATGTAGTAAAAATGATTTGTGTTATATATAGACCGTTTCTATCTCAGCCGAAGAATGAGACACAAAAGTAAGCTAGCCGTCTGCCAAAATCTACAGTTTCGTATAGGAGAATTAGTTTGCACTTTTAAAATTTGTAAAGAAAATCCCTATATGTCCTTCAGCATTTTAAAACTATGTTTACAAGTTCTATATAACATTGCGGTGTTGGTGGGCTAAAATTCGTTGACCCATTTTTGCGTTGAATCCAGATGCAGTGTTTAATTGAGAACGTTACAAATATATTTTCACTAAAACCGCGATAGTTCGCTCAATAGAAGCGACAAAAAGCAGTTTGAAATAGGAAATGTATTCGTTGATAAATCACCGGCGGCGCGGGCGCGGCCTGGAGCAGAGTTTGCTGAAATAAACGCTTCACATCCTCACATCGTAAATGTATGAATGTGCACTATTTATTGCTGAACCCTTTTAAATCTGTTTTTAGTAGACTAGGATAATGCTGATCTTTTAAATAGATTTCTTACTAATAATATAAGTAACCGCTCAAACCACTCGGCTAACACTACTCGGGTATTTTGCCGAGTGGTTTGAGCCTGCGACTCTCAACACTGAGGTCGTGCGTTGAAATCCTGGCTATGCATAGATGGATTTTTCTTTCTGGGTGCGCAATGAATAGCTCATACTGTCATACCCTAACGTATTGGGAATAGAGCGGACCTTTGGTTGTTTAGTATTTTTTTTAACATAAAGCACAATAAACCTCCTCCAAAGTCGATATGTTGCATATACAACAGTCTCATTTCGTACCACCACGGTAATAATATTGCTAATTATATTTTGTTTGTTACAGGTAATTTTGGATCTCTTTGGTACACCATAGGTTTGTTCACTAGACAGAATTCCATTGTAATTACTAACGATAGGACGTTTTTTTATACCTCTAAAGAGCTTCATAATCAACCGAAAATACACACTGGCCACTACTTTAAGGTATGAGAAACCATTTTAGTACTTATTTAATAGAACATCCGAAATTTGTTACTGTAATTGCTGGAACGAGCTTCACGTCCTCTCCTGGGAACAAATTTGATAACTACAGTACAGTACAGTATAGTACAGTCTAATATCAGCCGTTATTATAAAACATAGCGGTTTTATTAATAACAAAAATTTGTCTTACTATGCGAAAGCTTCATAACAGCATAATTAGATTATAGTAAATCATAATAAGCATCATCATTGGACGTCGAGGCAGAATACGAAATTCCACCCGTATGGCCTCGGCGTCCGTCTTTCCAGAACTGAGCGTTATTTAAGGCAATTTTTGCCTCGCAAAACCACTATGTGGAACCAGCTACGCGCTAAATATTTCAACTAAGGGACCTTCAAGAAAAGAGTGTACCA